TGGATCATAGTTTCATAGAATCATGTAACATTTGAGTTGGAATGGTATGTGAAGGCCATCAGGTCGAACCCCTAGATCATGGGATCATGAATCATGTTGGAACGGGCCATGAAGCCCATCATGTCCACCCCCTGCTGTTGCAGGACACCACGTTACATCATCCCACTCAGATGGCTGTTCAGGTACTTCTTGAATGTCTCCTGTATGGGAGAGCCCACTACCTCTCCAGGCACCTGGTCCCACTGTGGTCTAGCCCTGACTGTGAAGAACCTTCTCCCGAGGTCCAGCCTGGATCTGGATTCTGCAAACTTGGCTTCATCATTTTGTGTCCTCCACTCCGGCATCAGCAAGAAAAGATCTTGATGTTCCTCTTTGGGACAGCGTTTGAGGCCCTTCTAGAGCATGGGTCCTCAAACTACGGCCCAACGTGCTCATCTCTCCATCCCGCCTTAGAGCTTTTGGCTCGCTCAGGCGCCTGCGAGGGGACCTTCCTCTGGCTTGGAGGCACCAAGCAGCCGGGAAGCCCTCGCCCGAGGAAAGCGTGCCCCCACTGCTCCCCCTTGTGTTGGGCTCCCTTTTCAGGCGGGCTGCACGGTGGCACCTTGGGCTTCTGCTACAGCCCAAGTGAGCATAGCAAACCTTTTTTGAATTTTTCATCAATTTTTTTAATTCTAATTAAATTTGAATTCCTTATCAATTATTTTTTAATGTGCAGTGTGCATCAGAATCCTGTTTTTTCCCCCAACTATAGTCAGGCCCCCCAACAGCTCAGGCATGCTCCGCTCAGTGAGACAGGAACTGAGTAAGGCAAAAGGGGCCACCGAGGTCATCTAGTCCTACCCTGGCTCCAGAGGGCTCAGCCCAAAACATAGAAAAAGAGCGAGGCAGAAGGGGCCTCCTGGGACATCTGTCCTCCGGCTCCAGCTGGCTGCAATCACGACATGCCCACTAAGTGCATGTCTGGCTTATCCTTGGAGATCCTCACCAATGGGGCCTCAACCACTTCCTGTGGAAGCTCATTCCATACCCTCGGGTTTAGTGTTGCGGTTGCCTTAAGACGGAATTCTTGGATGGACTGAGCAGCTATTGGAGCGTAACGCTATCAGTGAGGAATCAGAGAATACTTGTAGAGCTGGAATGAGCCCTGAGGAACCTCAAGCCCAACCCTGGGGATCATAGGATCATGAAATCAAGTATCGTGAAGTTGGAAGGGTCCATGGAGGCCATCAGGGCAATCCTTGGATCACAGCGTCATAAAATCATCCATGCTGAAGCTGGCAGGAGCCATGAAGGCCATCGGGTACAACTCCTGGATCACAGGTATATAGAATTATGGAATAGTAGAGTTGAAAGGGGCCATGAAGGCCATCAGTTCCAACCTCTATAGGATCATACAATCATGGAATAGTAGAGTTGGAAGGGGCCATGAAGGCCATCAGGTCCAACCCCTAGATCATGGAATAGAATCATGGAACAGTATAATTGGAAGGCACTATGAAAGCCATCAGGGCCCACCCCTGGATCATTGTTTTCATAGAATCAGGGAATACTGAAGGGGCCATGAAGGCCATAAGGGCACACCCCTGCATCACAGGTCCATTGGATCATGGAATAGTAGAGTTGGCGCGGGCCATGAAGCCCATCATGTCCACCCCCTGCTGTTGTATGATACCATGTTACAACATCCCACTCAGATGGCTGTTCAGGAACTTCTGGAATGTCCCCAGTATGGGAAAGCCCACTACCTCTCCAGGCACCTGGTCCCACTGTCGTCATGCTCTGACCGTGAGGAAACTTCTTCTGATGTCTAGCCTAGTTGGCTTCATCCTTCCATGTCCTCCACTTCAGCATCAGCAAGAAGAGATCTTGACTTTCCTCTTTGGGACAGCCATGGAGGCCCTTCTAGAGCATGGCTCCTCAAACTACGGCTCACCGTGCTCATCTATCGGGTCTGCCTCAGAGGTTTTGGACCTGCTCAGGCGCCTGCGAGGGGACCTTCCTCCAGCTCGGAAGCAGGTGGCCCTGACCAGCTGGGAAGCCCTCACCTGAGGCAAGCGTGCATCCACAGTTCCCCACTGTGTTGTGCTCCCCCCCTTTCGGCAGGATGCACGGCATCACCTTGGGCTTCTGCAGCAGCCCAAGTGAGCATAGCAAACATTTTTTAATATTCCATTAATTTTTAAATATAATTAATTTTGTATTTATTATCATTTCAATTATTTTTTAATGTGCAGTTTTTTCCATTTATATACCGGCCCCGCAACAGCTCAAGCAAGCTCCGCTCAGTGAGACATAGAAACTGAGTAAGGCAAAAGGGGTCACCGAGGTCATCAAGTCCTACCCTGGCTCCAGTGGGTTCTGCTCAAAGAAACATAGAAAAAGAGCGAGGCAGAAGGGGCCTCCTGGGGCATCTGTCCTCCGGCTCCAGCCGGTTGCAATCACAACATGCCCACTAAGTGCATGTCTGGCCTATCCTTGGAGATCCTCACCAATGGGGCCTCAACCACTTCCTGTGGAAGCTCATTCCATACCCTCGGGTTTAGCATTGCAGTTGCCTTAAGAAGATGGAATTCTTGGAGGGTAACGCTATCAGCGAGGAATCAGAAAATAATTGTAGCGCTGGAAAGGGCCTTGAAGAACATCAAGTCCAACCATGGGGATTATAGGATCATGAAATCTAGAATACTGAAGTTGGATGGGGCCATGTAGGCCATTGGTTCCAACCCCTGGATCACAGGTTCATACAATGATGGAATAACTGAGTTCGAAGGGGCCATGAAGGTCATCAGGGCCCACCCCCTGGATCAAAGGTGCACAGGATCATGGAATAGTAGACTTGGAATGGGCCATGAAGAGTATCAAGGCCAACCCCCTGGATCATAGGTGCACAGGATCATGGAATAGTACATTTGGAAGGGGCAATGAAGGCTACCATGTCCAACCCCATGATCATAGGAAAATAAAATCGTGAAATAGTAGAGTTGGAGGGGGCCATGAAGGCCATCAGGTCCAAACTCTGGATCATAGAAATATTATAGCATCCATAGTGATGTTGGCAGGGGCCATCAAGGCCATCAGGTAG